CTTTAAATGAACGAGCTGAAGTTCAAAGCTGATTGGCTCCCATGCACAGCTGCACCAGATTCTGAGTGCCCCAGTTTTAGTAAATACCCCCCATAAGCTTTTAAAAGAGTTTAGAAGCAGCAGGTTTTAGAGGCAATCAAAGCTACCAAACACAGAAGAATCTCGTTCAAGAGGGCATAAAAAATACCAAAAGCGGCTAAATGCATCTAAACGCATCTAGATGCACCTAAGTGCTAGGCACATTTATCGCTTGAGCATTTATTCGTTTCAATGGCCAGAATAATTTAAAAATAATCAAAATTCTGGCAAATGATATAAAAAAAAACACAGATTTTTCCTGTCAGGAGAAACAACGTTTGCAATAAACCAGTGTGCACGAACCGTAAAGGGTAACTCCACTTTTGTAGAAAAAGATAAAAAAAATACCATATATAATTGCTGCACAAGAAATTGTAATTTAATGTGATTACAAATGTAATTTCCTTTTCAAACTGTAGGGCTTTAATTTTCTGCAAAATTCAATGCAACTCAAGAGTTGGTTCTGGCTAGCTCAGTGGATTGCTTCAAAAAAGTCCTGGATTCTTTCCTGGATACACAGAATATAACTGGATATAACATTTTATAGGTAAAGTTGATCCAGGGAATATCAGATTGCCTCTCGGGGGATCAGGAAGGAATTTTTTTCCCAACAGGAGAAAATTGGATCATGGTTTGCTGGGGGGTTTTTATTTGCCTTCCTCTGGATCAACTGTGGGTGTAGGATTATAACTTTTTTTTTCTATGGTTGAACTGGATGGACTTTTGTCTTTTTTCAGCCAGACTAACTATGCAACTATGTAACATGGTAACCTGGAGGCGTTCTGTATATCAACGCCTCCAAAAATGTAATTTCCTGCTTGCGTGACAAACTCTGCACTAAGACTAAGTCCGTTTTTGGGTATACTCTGCATCAAAAATGTCATCTTTGGGAGATACTTCCTAAGGGTTAATCACCTATAAAGGTGTAGAGACCAGGGGCTCTACACCTTTATAGGGTATAATGGGGCCCCTGTGTCCTTGCCCAAACTCAATAAAGCCTAGAAAAAGGGTACCAGGGGCATCTTATGGGGCCTCCTACTGACCCCGGGCCCTCGGGCACTGCCCGAGTTTCCAAATGGTCAGTCCGCCCCTGGTAGACACACTGCATTGTTTTCTTATCAGAACACTGAGAGTGCACCGGGTGATTATAATGAACCAGACCTTCACACTTTGCACAGAACATGGTCTAAAAAAGCTATTCCTTCAGCGCAACAAATAGAAGGAATCTGCTGCAAGTTTGATCAAACTGGGCTATTAACTGGCAATACAGGAAAAAACTTTACCAAAACTGGAAGCAACTACGATAGTTAGATTTTTTTGCTGGGCTTGAGTCTGATCAAGGCAATTTCGATCCTATCCCCTTGCAGCTGATCAAAACCACAAATTTCCACATTCAGGATTTCAATTCCGGCTTGACCAAAAATAGTTAAAATTGCCAGAAAGTTGCCATTTGCATAACCAGCCTGTTTATGCTTGTGGCTAGGGGAAGTATATAAAAAAAAGGGAGTTGAGAGGCCCCCAGACTATTCCCTTAAACTTACATAGTGGCTGGAAGGAGTTGTACATATGCCTAGGTAAAATATTACCCCTGTCACATGTGGCAGGCAGTACTGCTGTTGAACATGACCCATTCAAGTGTTATGCAACCAGGTTTAATGCATGTGGTTGTAGCATGGTGGTGTGGGCTTTCAGGATTAGCTGATGAGCTACCTATTAAATGGATAAAGCCAGGGGCGGATTGACAATTTGGAAACTCGGGCACTGCCCGAGGGCCTGGGGTCAGTAGGGGGCCCCATGAGATGCCCCTGGTACCTTTTTCATAGGCTTTTTTGAGTTTGGGCATGGACACAGGGGCCCCATGATCCCCTATTGCCCGGGGGCCCCATGAGTTGTCAGTCCGCCCCTGGTTAAAGCCTTTGTGCATTGTTATTGCAATCTGAGTCCCCATCAGGCAGATTCCTCCTTACTTCCTGTATTTTTGACAGAACAGGAAGTGACTGAAAGCCTACATTTGCATAGGTCACCATAAATCATCAGTATAATTCTGCATTACTCTTCTGCTGCAGCTCTATATAACCTGAATGTTTTCATAGACTGTAGCTGTGCCTTTTAAATACATTTGGCACATAACTACTCTGGTCTGAAATATTTACTATGGAATAATTAATTTTCTTTACAATTAGGGTTGTTGTAAGGGATCACTGGTTCAGCCAAGAGAAGGGATTTGGCTGTTATGTGCAATTAAGCACTTCCAGCTTTTGAGTACGTCATCAATATATCTGAAATTTACTGTCAAGAAAAAATAGTTGCAGATGTTGGAGAGAAAAATTATTTTTAAAACACGGGACACCACAATATCTCTAAAGTGTTGCTGGGCTCAGCCCCCAGCTCCAGGAATCCAGTATGTAGATGGCAGTGGATCCACATTTCCATGGCAGGTGTGGTCATTATACCCAACCATTACATTAGACCAGGGGTCTCCAAATTTTCCAAGCAAAGGGCTAGCTTACTGTCCTTCAGGCTTTATGGAGGCTGGACTGTGACCAGTCAGAGTGGAAAATACCACGGCATCAGTGCTCCACCATTGGTTTTTATGGGAGGAATAGCTCCCAATTGTTGATATCAGTGAGATGAATGCTGCCCCATTGATGGTGTCAGTAGGGGGGAATGGTGCCCCATCATTGGTGTCAATTAGTGGAATAGTGCTCCAAAGGCCAGATAAGGGCAAGCAAAGGGCCACATATGGCCACTGGGGTGCAGTTTGGAGACCATTACATTAGACCTTCAACTAGTCAACATGGTGGATATATTATTAGTGCTTTTATCTTGCAGAAGTGGGGTCCTACCTTGAACACAATGGGGTTGATTTACTAAACCTGGAGAGTGCAAAATCTGGTGTAGCTGTCCATGGTAACCAATTAGCTTCCAGGTTTTATTATCAAAGCTTAAATGAACAGGTTGAAGTTAGCTACCATCCACAGCTGCGCCAGATTTTGCAGTCTCAAATTTTAGTAAATCAACCCCAATGTGTTTGTATGTTCTTTTAGGCCGTGTGGGTGTCATTTAGGTGTGCCTGTTTCTTCCCACAATTCATTAGCCTTCTGACAAGTTCGTCTGCCTCTGGCTAAATTGGCATCACTATGCATGCTTGTAAGTGTGGCAGGGACATTATTGTGTAAGCAAGGAGATGAATGGTTCAGGTTTCTTGGTGGTACATGTTAATACTATAGTAACAAGTAAAGTACAATTACATAAAGAAAAAAAAGGTTATCATTAGTAGGAAAAGAGGAGTTTTAGTGGTAGAGCTGGTCAGCATTGACAATTAGGAACCATTTTATGGACAAATATTTTTAGGGTAAAACTGGGGCTGCATGAAAGCAGAGGTGGAATTTAATATATTTTTGGAATCTGATGACTGATGTTGGTTTATATATAAGGCTTTTAACCCATGAGTCAGTTTACTGTCCTTCATACTTTAGGGGGGCTTGACTGTGGCCACTGGGAGTAAATATTGTCCTGGCATCACTGGAAGGAAGCAATGCATCTTTGGTGTCCATGGGAGGAATACTGCTCATCATTGGTATTCATGAAAAAATAGTGCACCTTTATTGGTGTCAGTTGGAAGAATTATGCCCCATTGTTGGTGTCAGTGGGAGAAACAGTGCCCCTTCATTGGTGTAAGTGGGAGGAATAGTGCTCCATCATGGTGTCAGTAGGAGGAATAGTGCTACATCATTGGTATAAGTGGGAGGAATAGTGGCCCAGCATTGGTATTAATGGGAGGAATAGTGCCCCATCATTGGTAACAGTGGCGGAATAGTGCCACATCATTGGTATTAGTGGGCAAAATAGTGCCACATCATTAGCACCAGTGGGAGGAATAGTGCCCCATCATTGGTGTCAGTGAGAGGAATAGTGCCCCATCATTGGTGTCAGTGGGAGGAATAGTGCCCCATCATTGGTATCAGTGGGAGGAATAGTGCCACTTCATTGGTACCAGTGGGAGCAATAGTGCCCCATCATTGGTATCAGTGGGAGGAATAGTGCCACTTCATTGGTATCAGTGGGAGGAATAGTGCCCCATCATTGGTGTCAGCAGGAGGAATAGTGCTTGATCATTGGTATCAGTGGGAGGAATAGTGCTCCATCATTGGTATCAGTGGCGGAATAGTGCTACATCATTGGTATTAATGGGAAGAATATTGCCCCATCATTGGTAACAGTGGCGGAATAGTGCCACATCATTGGTATTAGTGGGCAAGATAGTGCCACATCATTGGTACCAGTGGGAGGAATAGTGCCCCATCATTGGCATCAGTGGTGGAATAGTGCCCCATCATTGGTGTCAGTGGGAGGAATAGTGCCCCATCATTGGTATCAGTGGTGGAATAGTGCCCCATCATTGGTATCAGTGGCGGAATAGTACCCCATCATTGGTATCAGTGGGAGGAATAGTGCCACAGCATTGGTACCAGTGGGAGGAATAGTGCCCCATCATTGGTATCAGTGGCGGAATAGTACCCCATCATTGGTATCAGTGGCAGAATAGTTCCACATCATTGGTATCAGTGGGAGGAATAGTGCCACATCATTGGTACCAGTGGGAGGAATAGTGCCCCATCATTGGTGTCAGTGGGAGGAATAGTGTCCCATCATTGGTATCAGTGGCGGAATAGTGCCACATCATTGGTATCAGTGGGAGGAATAGTGCCCCATCATTGGTGTCAGCGGGAGGAATAGTGCTCCATCATTGGTATCAGTGGGAGGAATAGTGCTCCATTGTTGGTATCAGTTGGAGGAATAGTGACCCATAATTGGTATGAGTTGAAGGAATAGTGCAGTTGTAGAATGTTGGACTATGTTGTAAAAATGGACTCTAGATTGAGTTTTATATATTTACATGCTTTTTTCTTTTTTGGTAGGTTTTCCCGGTCTGATGAGCTCTCCCGACACCGACGCTCACACTCTGGGGTAAAGCCGTACCAATGTGCTGTCTGCGAAAAGAAATTTGCCCGCAGTGACCACCTGTCCAAACATGTCAAGGTGCACAGATTTCCGAGGAGCAGCCGCGCCACCCGTTTATCAAACTGAATGCAATTGTATCAGCGACCTGCGTAGAGTTGAAGCCCAAAGCACTTTGTCAATCTCCCCATCATAACTTATTGTGTGTGATAGAAACCTTTGGTTTCGACTGGACAGTTGTACTCCACGTTTATTTAACATGGCTGTGAATGAAGCATCCTGGAAGAGCCAGGGAATTTGTCTGCGTCACATTCTGGAAGTTAATGGTTATGTGGGTGGGGGGTATTAATTAACTTGCTTCCGTTATGTATTTTTTTTTTCTCCCTTGAAGTTTAATTATTGGGTCAGTAAATTTGTATCTTTTGAAGTATCTACAAATGATCCTTTAATCGAACATTAATCCAAAATATTTAAAACTGGTCATGAAAGAAATATATGGTCACCACTTCTATCGGCCATTTTGTACAGAAATCCGTTGTGTCTCATAGAGTGTCCTCCCAGTAAAGGTGCTAAATATAGAAAAAATAGCAATATGTATATATAAAATATGCATTTTAAAAAAAGGCAAGTTTATAAAAGTTCAATATGGTTGGATGTTTTTAATGTGGTATAAAGAAATTGGAGAACTATATATAATGTCAGCATATGCTTTACTGTTTATAAGCTGCTACAAGGCAGACAAATTGTTGGCTAAAACCACATGAAAAGTCATTTTGTTGGTTTACACTAGCTGCCGTCTTGCTTGCTAAGTCCATACTATCAAGCGATCAGAAGCAATCATGTTGTTGCCCACTAGCAGCAGCCATATTGGTGGTTAAACCCATGTGCTCAAGAAGACAAAGGATGCCATGTTGTTGGTTACTACCATACAGCCATCTTTCTAGCTAGCTAAGCTTACACCTTCAAGTGAACTGAGCCAGCTATGTTGTCGGTTACTACCAGCAGCCATCCTGTTGGCTGAACCCACACTCTCAAAAAAAACAGAGATAGCCATGTTGTTGGTTACTACCAGGCACCATCATGTTGGCTGAACCTACACTCTTGAGAAAACAGAGGAAGCCATGTCGATGGTTACTACTATGCAACCGTCTTGCTAGCTAGCTAAGCCTACACTCTCAAGTAGACAGAAGCAGCCAAGTTGTTGGTTACTACTAAGCATCATCTTGCGAACTAAGCCCACATTCTTAAGCAAGAAAAGGCAGCCATGTTGTTGGTTAATAATAGATGGCTGAACCTACACTCTCAAGAAAACACAGGATGGCATGTTGACTGTTAATTTTAGATAGCCATCTTGCTAGCTAACTATCATGTTGGCTGGACCCACACTATCAAGAAAACAGAGACAGCCATGTTTTTGGTTACTACTAGGCACCATCTTGTTAGCTGAACCTACACTCTTGCAAAAACAGAGCAAGCCATGTTGATGGTTCCTCCTATGCAACCATCTTGCTAGGTAGCTAAGCCTACACTCTCAAGTGAACAGAGGCAGCAATGTTGTCAGTTTCCACCATCACCTATCTTGTTGGATAAACCCATACTCTTCAGCCAGCAATGGCAACCATGCTGTTGGTTTCTACCATCAACCATCTTTTCGGCTAAACCCTTACACACAAGCCAGCAGTGGCAACCATGTTGCTCGTCACTACAAGGCTGCCATCTTGCTAGCTGAATACATACTCTCAAAAAACAGAAAGTGTATATAGGTATAGAAAATGTTTCTAGAGAGTTGCAGTGGGGCAATTTTACAAAAATTGAGGCAAAATTAGAAGCTGCCCATGGCAACTGGTCAATGAATTGGTAACTCATGGTTGCCATTGGTATCTACTTCATTCTTCCCAAAGTTTTTGCATATCAGCCCTACTGAATGGTGACACAAAAAATAGCCATCTCCCATTGACTGTCCTGAAAATTAGGGTTCTTGGAGAAACAAATTGACATATTTGTTTTACTTCTACCAAAAATTCACCATTATCGTTGTCAACCTATAGGCCAAAAAAGGCTTAACCAAACACAAGGGCTTTTTTTAAAGATGGAAAAACAAAGACCAGTAACCCACTGCGGCCAATCAGATTTTTTTTTAACCAATGACATATCAGTTAAAGAAAAATATCTCACTGGCTCACTGGTTGGTTTGCCTCAGTGAAAAGGTTTGTCTATCCTAAATATTGATATAAAAAGATAAATACTGCCCCATCTTTTGATTTTAGTTATCTCCAAACCTAAAGTCATGCAAAGTCTAGGCCTTACCTGTTGGCATAGCTACACCTCGTGTTTAATTTTTGTGTCTTTATGTGGAAACTTTTCCATTTCTAGTCAATAAAAATAACTCCCCCCCCAAAAAAAGGATGTAGAAAAATAGATATCACACAGTGACTTTATGGCTGACTGCAGACCTTCTTAGGAACCGAAACCACACCAGTGTTTATTAGTCCTAGCTAAAATCACTTTTATAAATTGTATAGATTGACTGCTATGTACTATAATACTTTTTTCACATTTTGGCCTATATACTTTTCTTGTGAACAAAAAATGTTACAAATCCAAGGTCTCAATACGCCAAAAACCATCTTTTGGATCCTAAGCCAGTTGGCCATTTTATCAGGGATCTGCTGTGTTCTTCTGATGGTCAAAACCAGGTCCATTCTAGCTGGAAATTAGAAAACTTTTCACAAATAATTTGCCACTATTATCTCAAAGGATGAAGGAAAAAAATTACTATTTTTTATTCCTGTAATAAAAAAAGCAATTAAAAAAATTAGATTTAATATAAAAAAAAATATAAAATTAAAAGTATAACCTTCCAATGCAAGGCTATTAAAAACATACCGATATTTTATATATATCCTTTACACCGAAAAAATATGCGCAAAGCTAGGAGGATCACTTCTTTTTATTACCTAGAAATCCTTGCCTTTCAGTAGTAAATAAATAAATAATTAGATAGTACATCTTAATAATATTTATAAAAATATGAATACTACAAATAATACAAAAGAAAACATTTACAAAGTTAGAATCATTGGTGGGTGAGTTATAGGCGGCAACAATTAAAAAAGTATATACAGAATGTATTCCAATATTGCCATTTTTTTTTTTTTACTTGTTACTAAGCTGTGATTGCCTCAGATTCTGTTTTTTAAAAAAAAAAGCCTTCATTCGTATATTATACATTATATCAAATACTGCAGATTTTTGGCCTTTTTATTAAAAAAACACAAAACTGTTAGTTATGATTGTGTTTTAGTTACAGTACAACAGTATCCTCATTAAATCTATTTTTATATTGCAAATGCGGTGTTTCGTTTTCTACCAAAAACAATGTACAGTATATGAACTATTTTATATCTGATGCATTTCACCCCTCCAGTGCCTCACAGATGACCACTGAACAAAATATCGCCAGGAGAATTGTATCTTTTTCCCATGCGAGGGAAGAGAGAATTTTTTTTTGTGCGTTTGTGTCGTGAGGTTGAAATATTGCTGTTAATTCTGTAGAAGATAAATTCTGCCTTAATGGAAGACAATGGAAATCAGAGAAAAAGTGTTTATTTTCCATAAACCGAGCAAGAAAAAAATAATCTATTTTATGTAAGCTGTCTTAAACCGTTTTGTTGCTGGATTTCTGAATAGTGCTGCTTTTGTGATATATATATATATATATATATATATATATAGGTCTCTCTGGCTTCAAAGGGGTTAAAAATCCGTGCATTCCTTATCAATGTAGATGTATGTTTATCAGGCAATCTTGTATCAAAGGCAGGTTTGCTACGGTTGTTCATTGCCGCTAACAAAATTTAAAATGGACTCTTAAAATTTAGCATCAGTGGTCAAGGTAGCGAGGTCTACATGTTCTCCAGAAAAAAATCCCCAATGTGCCCAAACTTTTTTTGGGTCAATATCCAACATGGCAATAACAAACAAAATGGCCATTTCTACCAAGTGTAGCTGAATGAACCCTACGGACAGCTCAGATATCAAACTATAAACGTGGGGAGCATGGAGCCAGATCAATTATCCCTTTAAATGCTCTTAACTATCAAGTTTTTGGGGTTTGGGGTTGACGGGGATCCCCACCATCTTCCTTTCATATCAGCCTGCCTATGAACAAGACGTTTACTCCTCCTCTTATGAATGTATGTAAATACTGTATATACATAGAAAGCTCCATATAAAATAAATGCCTTTAATAATGTATCAGAATTTTATGTAAATTAATTCAAAAGTTAAAATATCTCTATGATGCTATGTACATAAAATAATACTGTATTTTTCTTCTATGTTCCTCAGAAAAGAAGTATATTTACTTTGACAATAAACTGAAAAAAATAGTTTGTTTACTTGTTGTTTATTAATGTTTTTTTATTAGGTGGTTTTGTAAAGATATACTGTAAATGTATGTGTTTTATTAGGTATAGATACTGTGTATGTGAGTGTGGGTATATATATATATATAGTATTAGGTTTATATATACAGTAGGGATGCACCGCTGACGATAACGAGTATTTTCACAAGTACTTTTACTCGTGAAAATATTCCCGATACCCAAAACAATACTTTTCGGTGTGATTTGTGTCAATACAAAATGTGTTTTTATATATATATGGGCAATAAATCCATCCGTGACATTTCCTGGCTACTAAATATTCCACGCTCAACTGTTACTGGGATTATAACAAATTGGAAGCAACTGGGAACAACAGCAACTCAGCCACCAAGTGGTACGCCACGTAAAATGACAGAGCGGGGTCAGCGCATGCTGAAGCGCACAGTGCGCAGAAGTCGCCAACTGTCTGCAGAGTCAATAGCTAAAGACCTCCAAACTTGGTGTGGCCTTCAGATTAGCACAACAGTGCGTAGAGAGCTTCATGGAATGGGTTTCCATGGCCGAGCAGCTGCATCCAAGCCTTACATCACCAAGTGCAATGCAAAGCGGCGGATGCCGTGGTGTAAAGCACGCCGCCACTGGACTCTACAGCAGTGGAGATGTGTTCTCTGGAGTGACCAATCACTCTTCTCTGTCTGGCAATCTTGTGGACGTGCCTGGGTTTGGCGGTTGCCAGGAGGC